CCACACACACACACACACACACACACACACACACACACACACACACACACACACACACACACACACACACACACACACACACACACGTCACACGCACGCACGCATGCACGCACGCACGCACACACACACACACACACACACACATAATCAATATATATAATATAATATATATATACAATGCTTTCAAGCATCAATTTATAGAAGCAAGTTATCCGATATTTGTCGCAGCTAAATTCAGCATCTGAATTTGAGCGGTTGGACATAGTTCTTTTGCCTTGTTTATTCTCTGGAAGTTTTTAACCATTATTGATTGTCTGTTATAGCAGCAAACCTAGTAGTGATTTACTAGAGCTGGAGTTCCAGGGGGCGCCACCTAATTCTGCTGCGTCGACACCTACCGGTGCTTACAGTGGTGTTAAATCGCCGCCCTTAAATGCGCCCTCTAGTGGTCACTCGACACCGGTTACTGGCATAGGTGCGTATATTTTTGTCGTAAGTTGAGACAGGCTGCTGACAGGTTTAGGGATCCTACGAGGGTTATTGTATGCGTTTTCGACATGGTTGCGTGTTATTCTGATTACTGTTCCATGTTTTCATGGGTTAATAATGTTAAAAAAAATTGTCATTATTAACCCCTGATGTTATCTATCGTATCTTCCTAACTATGTATTATTCGAGTTTCTCTCTGATATATCTGTGCATTATTCTAATGTCTCAATGACATGTAGCTAAGTCTTATTGTTATATATTTCTAACACAGAAGTACGAGACTTGGAGTAAGCGACACTTTGAGAAGTATTTCAATATCGTAATATATGATATATGATCAAGCAACCAATAATCTGACTGGGTTATTCCCTGTGATACACGATTGCTTGTTCTCAGATCATCAAGTGGACCAGGAAGTGGCGAGTTTTCCTCCGCCGGTGCCGAAGGCGGTATCTGGGAGCAGCATAGCTATTCCGCGGCCTCCAAGCCGCAGCAGAGAGCGGCCACGCACCACTACCCCAGGAATGGTAGGCACAAGCTAGCTCTCCTTCAGCATATTTGTTTCTTTGTTCTCTTTCTTCACCTCTCTCCATTTCCTCCTCCCTCCTTTCCTCCATCCCAATTTTTCCCTCCATTTACTCCCTCCCTCCCTGCCTCCTCTCTCTCTCTCTCTCTCTCTCTCTCTCTCTCTCTCTTTCTAATCTCCTTTCGCTCTCTATCTCTTTCTCTCCCTCTCTCTCTATCTCTATCTCTTTCTTTCTTTTCTCTTTTTTACTTTCTTTCTCTTTCTCTCTCTCTATCTATCTCTCTCTCTGACTCGCTCTTTCTCTTTCTCTCTCTCTCTCTTCTCGCTTTCTTTCCTTGGCTCTCACAATCACACTCTCTCACTCTCAGTTTTACATCAATTTTGTGCTCGAAGAATCAATACAAACGAAACCGCGACCGTTTCCGAGCCTCTCATCTGTCCGTCTATATAATCCGCGTTGTTTGTCTCGCAGCAGCAGCACGGTAGAGGGCGCATGAGTCCCGCGCAGCCGGTGATGGCGCGAGCCGACTCCGTGAGCAGTGTTGGCAGCGTCGGCAGCGAATCCTTCAAGACTACCTCGGCGCCGGTCTCCTGCTCGCGGGGTCCAAGCCCTCTCGCGTTAGGCATGGCCGACACGGTACCGCTGGCGGTAGCCTTCACGGAGACCATCCATGCCTACTTCAAGGGAGTCGACGAGACCAAGTGAGTGCTGCGGCGATTTCGCGCGCTCGCGTGCGGACGAGGGCTTTGGCAATGGGTTGTGCACACGGCCGGTTTGTTGATGAAGCAGGAAATGGGACAATTCGTAGATGAAAAACGTGATGTTCGTGAACTGATAGAGAGTGTGCTTCCCTTACATAGCACTGATGTACGTTGTTGTCGTGTTACAGGTGTAAGGTGAAGATACAGGGCTACATGCTGGTGTCGTTCCCCGTCCGCTGTGCTTCCCTTACATAGCACTGATGTACATTGTTGTCATGTTACAGGTGTAAGGTGAAGATACAGGGCTACATGCTGGTGTCGTTCCCCGCCCGCTGTGCTTCCCTTACATAGCACCGATGTACGTTGTCGTCGTGGTTACAGGTGTAAGGTGAAGATACAGGGCTACATGCTGGTGTCGTTCCCCGCCGCCTGTGCT